CTTTGTCATATTTGCTGAGGCTGCTTTATTTCTGAGTTATTTGCTGTTGTTACTTTGTACCAATTTTTTTTTTTGTTGCTGTTGTGTCTCCGAAAATTTTGGTTGGTGCTTTATGGAACACATAAAAAACTTGACAACAACATTCAAATAACAATTTATTGTTAGCATAATAACGCAATGTTTACCCACTTGTCTAAGGATAATCCGTCGTAATTACGAAATGAGTTATTTTTTAACAATTCCTCAGTGCTCCGAAAGTTTTAATTTGTTGGCTTTAAGGACTTAAGAGTTTTCTCTAATAAAAAAATATTAAATTAAATATGTATGTAATGCTTGACGAAATAATTATTTGACCATAGAGTTAGGTTAGGCTGAAGTAGTGGCCTTGTACAACAAAACTCCCTTGAGCATAAATAATTATAAAATTTCTGTTGTTGTACCATGGTTGGGACATTATTCGTACACCAGACCTGCAGCACTACCTAAGAGATCTAAAGCAAATCCAAAGCATTAAATACACGAACAGCATCCTTTCGAATAGATGCAAAATCCCTAGACAAGTAAAAAGAAACCTATTTGACAAGCTTATAAACTTAGTCATGTTTCTAATTTTAAAGGATATCAGCTCTATCTGGTCAGTAAAGAAAGGGGCCTTAAAAATGTTGAATCTTCTACTAACCAATAATAGACTTTGTTACTTTAGATGAAGTTTCCCCTTCAGTCAAAGAATTACAACCCCGAAAGAAACATTCAGAGGATAGATCAAATCTTGCCTGTAGCACTAACAGGCTTTACCCCGCATTAGTAAAGCATGCATTAAGATTTGATCTATCCTCTGACTGTTTCTTTCGGGGTTGTTATTCTTTGACTAAAGGGGAAACTTCATCTAAAGTACCAAAGTCTATTATTGGTTAGTAAAAGATTCAACATTTTTAAGGCCCCTTTCTTTGCTGACCAGATAGAGCTGATATCCTTTAAAATTAGAAACGTGTCTAAGTTTATAAGCTTGTCATAGTACTGAGTTGGAACAGTTCAGTGTTTTTCAATTTCATCCAAATACGTCATTTGATGTGAAAAGGATGTTTATCTATTTAGGCTTCCATAACATATCACAAAGAAGAGAGAGAAAGTGCATACCATATGCTTGGGGAGTGCTCGGCACTGATGCACCAGCGGAAGAAACACCTAGGAGGGTGTTTCATCGATCATAAGGATTCAAGTCATGGAAAGATGGGCTCTATACTGCCTTTCATTAAAGAAATCGGACTTGGAGAGAAACTCTAATCCGAGTAAGGGGCATAATAGATCTTTTAGGTCGCAGTGCACGATTCCTTCTATTAATTAATAATAATAATTAATAATACATGTCATAGGCATTTTATTTAATTGTTAGTTTAGTAATTGGAAGACGAATACCAATATTCGGAAACAGAATATTTATTCCTAATTTAGTAAGTTTGTCTGTTTTCAAGTTGCCCGAAATATCTCTGTATTCTTAATGCGTGGACATGATTAGATGAACAGGCAGATGAACAGATATTAATTAGAACTTTCTGTTCTGATATATACGATTTAATCTTCATTTATTTCACATTTTGTACTTTTGCTACTAGTCCTCTTCGATTTTACTGATAAGGCATTGCTTTTAAGGTCATCACATCTACAAAGTGTTTTTACTCCGGTTAGGTAATATTACCTGATAATATTCTATATATGGTATGTATAAACCTTCGATTTTAACGCAATAAGAAATTACAATCGACATTACTGTCATTAGGCTATCAATTTATTCCTTAAATTGAATTCTTGCAAAAACGAATGACACCTGCATTGTCACAAATCACAGTAATTTACACAAAAAGGACACCACATAAGATTGAGTAAAAATGCAAATAATGATACATCAGGAACCATCAATTAGTGAAAATGTCCTACTGCTGCGATTAAATTGCCCTCCTTGTGGCATTCTAAAGTGTTTATTGCCAAATGAATTCAATAGCCTCCATTTGGTATCGAATTTCATTGCAAACAAATCACAATTTGGTTCCAATTAACGCTAAGCACCACTTAAGTAGTATTTAAGGAAGAAGAGTCCTAAACAGAAACTCACAAACAATCAGTACGAGCAACGAATACGAAGACTCGAAGTCAGTTGAAGTGCGCTACACTTGAGTATATCCGTTTCCGTTTCGTTGACGCCATCAATTGTTTTCCTTGTTGTTTTTTGTTGAGCTGCCAAGAAGTGAAGTGCCTGAAAATGCCAAAGCCGAGTTTAATTGAAGAAAATCCGGTACTCTCGATAAATGTGAAATTGTGGAAGTTTTTATCTGTAATTCTGAAGCATAATTGGCATGTGTATGTGTTTGTGGCGCCCGTCTGTCTCATGAATGTATTGCAGTTTGTCTATTTGTACCGGGTATCCGACGATTTAGCTCCTTTCATACTGAATATGTTTTTTGCTTCAGCCATATTTGATGCATTACTGCGTACGTGTCTCGTTATCTACAATCGGAATAAATTCGAGGCATTCATGTTGGAACTGGCAAAAATGTATCAAGAAATTGAAGTGAGTCTCTGCTTTTTTCTACGCTATATCATATTCTTTTGCAAATTAAAGCGCTTTCAGTAAAAAATTAATACCTTATGTAAACAGGAAAGTAATGACGCTTTTGCTAAAGGCATCCTAAAGGAAGTGGTAACAGCAACTCGCAGGATATCAATTTTCAATTTAACAGCTTCCTTTTGTGATATCGTTGGCGCGCTTCTGTATCCGCTTTTTAGTGAGAATAGAGGTGAGTTTGAGGTTTTTTTTTCGACTCTCTGGTTATTTTAATTAAATATAGCATTAAATTTCATATACGCATCCTTTTGATTACAACTCATTTAAAAAATAACATTTATATTCAAAAATGTATACCATTGTAAATTAATACTCCTTTTGTTTTTAATTTTTTTTTTTTTTGGAAAAAAATTCATTGCATATCTAACATATTTTAATATTAATTTTATATAATAGAAATTTAATATTTATGAAACTTTAAAAGCATAGAATAACTACAACTAAAAGCCTTTCCTTTTCTTTTAATTATTCAATTTACAGTGCATCCTTTCGGTGTTGCCGTACCGTCGGTAAATATGACCCAGACTCCTGTTTATGAAATTTTTTATATATTACAACTTCCCACACCGGTGATACTGACGGCCATGTATATGCCATTTGTAAACCTTTTCGGAGCTTTCGCCATGTTTGGCAAGGCGACACTAACCATTTTACAACACAATTTAAAACAAATTTGTAAGGACAACGAAAAAAGCGAACATCAAATGTACGAGGACTTGATAGCATGTATTTTATACTACAAAAGGATTGCTAGGTAATCAAAGGCTAATTAGCAGTGTAAAATACAAACAGTCTCAAACAGTTTCAAATGCTCAAATGTCCTTACAGGTACGTAAAGGACTTCAATTCCTTGGTTACTTATATTGTTTCCGTGGAATTTCTGCTATTCAATTGCATACTCTGTTCTCTGCTGTTTTGCATGAATATCGTAAGGCATTCCATAGATGTCTGAAATTGTATTTCTGTTGAATTTATTTAATTAAAATCTATCTGTTCTAGATTAAATCTGCAACTCAAATTGTTTCAGTGATTATGTACATATTCACAATGCTCTATGTACTCTTCACGTACTATTGGTATGCCAATGAACTTTTAGTGGAGGTAAGTGATTACTAGGCACGAGCACATCCTATTTATCATTGGAATATTTGTGGAAATGCTATATACCCGAATTAATTTCTCATTTGTGTTTTTACTACGAATATTTTTGTTTTAATTTCTTTTAACTTTCCCGCTTAACAATGCAGAGTTTGAAGGTTTCAGAATCGGTATTCTCCATGCAATGGTACAATGCCGACAAACGTTTCAAGAGCACAGTTTTAATATTTGGTGCTCTAACCCAGAAGCCATTACGGGTAAATTTTATATAATATTTCTTATACATTTAATATACGAATAGCTCATTTATAATATTAAATTTAATAAATTTTCCAATTTATAGCTAATGGTTGGAAACGTTTATCCAATGACTTTGGAAACATTTCAATCTCTATTGAATGCCTCATACTCGTACTTTTCAGTATTGCGTGGAGTTTACAATTAAATCAAATTTTCATTATTTTTAAATAAAAAAAATATATTATCTTGCACCGTTTTGAGTTGTATAATGAAGGGAAAACAAACACTCTAAAAATACAAGGAATTTAAAAAGGATTTGGAAGGATGAAATAGTTATATCAATATTTGAAAAATTTGTTTAGTAAAATAAATTAGAAAGTATCACTAAAATACGATGAGTATCAAGCAAATACATATTCCAATTAATTTATAAATCTATAAAATGATTAAAATGTTAATATATAGGAACCAAAGGACATGAAATAAACGCGGAAGAAAACAAACTCGAACAACATTTTTTGAACTTTATTTGTATCAATAATTACTCAATCAATTCATCAATCGATTGTCTGCTATTCGAGCTATATAGTCAGACGGTCGTTCTTTTAATTTGGTTACACTTCATATTATGCCTCTGAAGTAACCAAGACCGATCAGTTAACAAATACAACACTGAAGAATATAAAAGACAGAATCGAAATATAATTGAATCGGTAATGGGTTGAGTATTGAGTTGACCATATAACTCATAGATAATTGAGAAAAGATGTGAAATTATATATAAGATCACCTACATATCAAAAGATTACGAGGTAATTGGGTAAGCATAGCTTAGAATAAAGTAAAATAAATATGTAACTGAGAGTAGACCTAAGTCCAGTAGTGAAAAGAAATGGCTCAAAATTTATGATGATATATACAAATATAAAATAATTATTTTACTAGTACTAGTATAACATAATAATACACTATTAATAAATTATCAAGCATAGGGTTTATACATGCATACATCCTAATATTCTTCTTCTTAATACTCTTCAACTTAATATTCCAAATTTATACATATGCGTATAGTACTCATACCGCTACTACCTCTGAAGAAAAATAATTTGAACAATAAAGTATTTTAAGGTATTTTGTCATATATACTAACTTATTTACTACTGTCTTTCTCTCTAAGTGGTGCATAGACTTTCTTTTGTCATATATGAATTCATTTTATTGTATTATGTAGTATCGATGTCTGAAAACTGATCTTGGAGGTTCGTTAAAGTAAACACTTTACATTAAAGATTATTTCCATAAGACTAGGGAAGGCTACATAATTATTTATAATAATATTGTAAAGATTGTTCTGACATCCTATTATAAATATTAAAAATTCCATCATTGATGAGTGCTTAATCAAAAGTGCGCAGAAAGATTAGTTAACTGATATATATACATATATATAATATTTATTTAAATTGATTTCAGAACTAGGATTCGTGCTATGCATCTACATTGAAGCTATTGAAGAAAAGTATAACGGTTTATAGATTTAATATTATTTGTGGAAAATTAATTAATCTTTCAGATAATGATTGTTTTTCTTAGTTAATAGTCAATGTATATACTATACATCAACAAAGTAACTAAACATTCGTTATAAGTGCTTCGTTGATTTAATTCATTTCCATCACAGCACAAAATCCATTAGAAAATTATACGTTAATATTCCTAAAACAATAACAATCACAATTGTAGCAATAATAACAACAGAAATTAAAGCAACAATACTAAGAAAATTGTTGGCCAAATGAAATCTTCAAGACTTACATTGATTCTTCATCATACCATTTGGAGTAATAAAAAGTTGCCGCAATCGTAAATTCTTGCAACAACTTCGATTTTCAAAGGAAAAGTGAAGGTGTTGCTGGATACTTTCCAGTCTTCAAGTAGCAATTTGCCTGTCTTCCTCCAGTTTAAAGACACTGGTTTCATTCAGGTCTAGTTATGGCATCGTTTGCAACATTGTTGCATTTATTACAGTTCATCGTTTGGCACTCGTTTCATATCTGGCGTTTAGTATTCCAATCCAAAGAGGCAACTATGTAAATAATTGTTGTTGTAAATTTAATATCACTAATGCTATCGCATGATACCCGGCACGTTTCTGGTTCTTTTTATAATAATCGTAAACAATACCATCTCCGAGATTGCCAAGAATTATAAACGAGTGGAAGCAATGGGGCTGACTGGTTTGGATTTACTCAGGCTCTTAACTTTAGATCTAAAAATTGTTAAGTGGGCAATTATTTAATAAATGGAGGCACAAACTTTGTTGCATGGCGCATTCTTGCATATTTAATGTAGTAGGAAAATAAAAAATGATAACGAGTTAGTAATAATTTGATATCGTTTTCACTATATCGTTTTTGTCTATGATCAGAAGAAATTCAGTAGATATAATTATGATGTTGTAAGGGCAGTTTAAATTCAAAAGATTATATTCATGAAAGTTGTCTTAGTTTTACAAAATTTCACTTACAATATCCTTCCTAAAAGGTGCAAGCAATGTGAAAACTTGATATGCCAAACAAGCCGATATTCAGCCACTTCTTAAGCTAAAAACGCTGTCCAATAAATAAAATACGTTCTGGATTATTGGTGGACAATAGCGTCAGAGGCAATCAGTTATTTCTGTGGTTTTCACAATGGATCATGAAAAACATGAGTTGCCACGTTTAGATTCCATCGATTCCACTGCAAAGTGTCGCATAATGACCTTTCAATATTTTTTTCGTCTCTCTGTGGATTTGACTTAAGTTAAGGTTTGGATAAAAATGTAAAATTGACCAATTTTTTTGCTACTTGTTTCTTTTAAGGTTTAAGATTTGAATGAAGATTCATTGAGATCGTACAATATTAACTTTTCCAAGATTGCTGATATTATATTATAGTGAGCTACATTTTATTGAGAACAAAAATCTTTCAGGGTAGAATTAGGATGAAACTTGTAAAATTCATTGCGGTTTTGACAGTCATCTATAATGAAAAATTCGCTATTCTTCCATTAGTAAATCAGAAGCTGTTGGAAGAAAGAAGAAACAGAAATATTAGAAATTCACTGTACAAATTCTAACCTGGCAAGACGTAAGATATTGTAATATGATAATATAATATATCTGAAATATGGATATTCCAAAAAAATCTTTCACATCAGTCATACAGTTTCGTTTCGACATTCAGAAAATAAAACGATACTTATGCGCTTCGTCGATTGATGAGAATATTGTACAATCATTAATGTAACTAATCTAGATGCTGTTATATTTATATTTGATTGAAGTCATTATTAATACCGTTTTTCAATCTTCAATCACAGGAGTGAGAGCAACAGAGTTGTTATTTCGGAAAAATATTTCGTTTTGCTAGTTGTTCCTTGTGTCCGTGTGAGTTTTTTGGAGTTGATGAAATTATCTCTTATCTGACCTCTTAACTTTTTTGCTATTAAAATATTACTAGTTCTTAAATACTAAAGTACATGAGTTTAGTTATCGTGTCGTACATACAAGTATATTTCAATTATTTTTGGAATAATGCACTTATAAGGAAACCAGTAGTTCTCTCTAAATAAAAGTCAATGTCATTGCGTAAAGAAAAATTCAAGCCGACATTGATGTTGACAGCAACTTACTCCTTTTTTTCCAAAATACATACATATTCCATTTAAGTGTACCATTGAAAGCTCCTTTAACCCTTTTTGCACTTCTCAGTCAACAATCTGTCATCTTGTGCTTCTTTGCAGTGATTGCTAAGTTGTCTGTGTTAGGGTTTACTGGTGATAGAATATATTATATCAATACAATTTTTGGACGAAGGGTACTGAATTTTAATATATATAAAATCTTCG